GTTTGGGAGGATGAGATCTCCCAGCTGGGAGGACTGTGATAACCAGGAGCTTTAAGCCCCATCACTCCTGCCAGTTCTTCCTTTGTAGTTAAATAAATCAGCTCTAAATTTAACAGGATTTAAATTTTTGTTTCTTTTCCCCCCCCCCCTCATATATCCATCAAGTTAAAAGCAAATTGATTTCACCCATAAAACTCAAAACCCGTCGCTTTGGTACGTTTTTATTTGATTTTATTTTTTTTTTCCCCAGTCTCAGGCCATAGAGCTCTATGAACATTAGCTGTGAATAAAAGTTAATAATCACTAAAAGCTGCGTCTTCCCCCCAGTTTGGAACAGAATACAAAATTTAAGTGCCCAAATAAACGTTTGTTGAGCTGCGTTAACGACTGAAATATTTTTGCAGAGAAATAGTGTTCTCTGCTGGTGAACTGCAAGAAATGTTAAATTTCCCATAAAAACCCGGCTCCCATGGACGTTTTTTTAACAGTTACCAGGAAGGGAATAAAAAAGTATCAAAGCGACCCAACAGTTTAAAAGGGAGGGTTTCGGTCCCGGTGATTTAAATCATCCCAAAAATAAACGGGACAGTTCCAATCCCTCGGAATTAAATCCACCCACCCCGGGGGGCTCTGACACTGCCCGGAAAGTTCCTTTCATGGCTGGGGATCCCGAGGGTTTCAAAGGGAACATCTTTGTCCCAGCCCAGCACAAAGCAGGAGCCTCTTAACGAGCTCCAGACCCTCTCCCGGTGGAGCTGCTCCAGGAGGGAGATGAGGCCAAGGGAGGTCTTGGAATGGCAAAGAGGGGAACTGGGGACAGGGATTATTCCCCTCTTCGTGCTCGACGGGGAGGAAGAGCCTTTTCCTCCCCCCCAAAAAAAATCTACAGGAATTAGCCAGGAGCTCTGCGGATGGATCCCAGCCCGGCTCCCAAAGTCTCATCTCCAGGGAGATTCCTCGGGAATTTCTCAAGCTAACTTTCAGTTTTACATCTTACAAAGAGAATTAAAACCTCAGGCAAAAAGCTGGAGCAGCTGGGCAGAAGCTCTTTTCTGGGGGGGTTCCTCAGTCCTGACATTCCCAATCCCGTATCCAATATCTTGGTTAAATATGCCAGAAATAATCTGATTTAATTCCCTGAGATCCCTCACGAGCTCCTCAGCTTGCTGTGGCCAGCCAGGCACATCCACCCCTGGAAGTGCCCAAGGCCAGGTTGGATGGGGCTTGGAGCAACCTGGGCTGGTGGAAGGTGTCCCTGCCATGGCAAGGGTGGCACTGGATGAGTTTAAAGGTCCCTTCCGACCCAAACCATCCCAGGATTGTCTGTGTGTCGGGCTGGCAGCAGGTTGGGGTTGGTGGCACCAAGGGATCCCGTGAGGAAAGGCCGAGGGAATTGGGATTGTTCAGCCTGGAGAAGAGAAGCTTTGGAGTGACCTCACTGTGACCTTCCAGGACCTGAAGGGAGCCCACGAGAAAGATGGAGAGAGGCTGTTCCCAAGGGCCTGGAGCAACGGGACAGGGGGGGAATGGATTTAAATGGGAAGAGAGTGGGTTTAGGTTGGATACTTGGAGGAAATCCTTCCCTGTGAGGGGGACACATCCCTGTGGAAGGTCCTTGTGCCCTCGCTGTGGGAAGGGAATGGATTTAAATGGGAAGAGAGTGGTTTTAGGTTGGATA